TTTCCTTTGTGTTGGCTTGAGAGTACACGTAAGGCCTGTGATGCAGACGGAATGAGTAATACTGTATTCCCTGGCTGCTTCCGGGGGGATGGAGGTCTGCTTTTCATCCTGGTTTGCACGTTTCTTGCTGCTGCCATCTGCTAACGTGACTGGGTCCTTACTCACAGGAAGTACATGAGGGGCTCAGACACAGCAAATGTGGGTCAAACAGAAATCTTTAAAGCACTGGGGAGCGTGGGACTCCCCAGAGCTGAGTCACTGACAACAAGAGTGAAATCATTCCTCAGCGTAGGCTGTCTGGGACCCGGAAAGGTGGGGACAGAAGAGGATTCAAACTTGGAGACTGATGTTCTTTTTCTGATCTTTTGTGTGTTATTCCCCAGGCTCTATTCTGGGGGAAGAAATTTTCTTCAGTGTGTTTTGACAAAACATGGAGTGACCAGTGACCTGTTCTGCTTTTGTGTTGTGAGATCATACAGTCATGGTACTAAGGACTGCCTTCCCCAGAGGCCCCCTCTTGGGTGGTAGCATGGTGCCTGGAGATTGATGCAATGTAGAGAAGGGGCCTGGGTCTGTGCGCCATATGTTGTTAACGGACCTTGCTGCTGGACAAGCCTGCTGAATCAGACTTTTCTCATTTTAATTCTCTGTAGTACTCAACTTGATGCAGATCGGCCAGTGATGGTAAATGGGGGAAAGATGGCAAAATGCTCCATTCTCAGCAGGTGGCTGGGTGCCCCTGCTGCCTTTGCACCAACAGTTTCATGTGAGAGGAATTCAGGCCCCATTTTGGCCCCTTTCTCTGTTTGGAGTTGGCCCTTTTAACACTGCCAGTCGCTGGAGGTGGGCTCCTCTCTGCTGCTATTAAGATCAAGCTTTTGGTTAGCTAGAGAAGCGGCTGTGGGATCTAGTAGGGCCACTTAGAGTTTACAGCTACATAATCATAATTAGCGATCCCAGTTAATAAATGCAGCAGTGCCATGGTATCATTTTGGCTTTGCTGACCATGGGCATGCACATTGGCTAGTTAGTGCAACAAGAGGCAGCTTAATGGGGCAACTCCTCCTCTGAGAGGGTGTGCGCAGTTGCTCCTGGCAATGCCTGTAAACACCTCCTGCTGCCACCACCCTCCTCTGAAGAAGAGGCTGAAAGCCTGTTTTGGGCTGCTCTGAAATGCCAGTTTTGGCATATTTGAAGCCATCCCAAGATGGGATGGGGAAGGTTTGGGTTCAGTGCTACTGTGTCGGGCCCTTAAGGCCAGAAACAAAACTTCTCCCTCCTGCTTGCTGGAGATAGTAACTTAAGCATCCTTTCTTGGGCCACCTGGTGGCTGGGTGACCTGGTCATCTGCAAGGCAACATCCCCAAGACTGGGGTGGTGCTTGTGGGCCATACTCTGAAATTCTTTGGTTGGGGAGGGTGGGTATGACTAAGCCTTTAGCAGTTCTGGGCAGAAAGGTTTGCAGTGCCAGAGGGACAACCTGCCCTGAGCCTGGTCACTGGCACAGAGCTGAATTCGTGGCCTGGGTCGCAGTGCCCAGCGGTGATGGGTGGAGGAGGGCTATAAGGCAGCCCAGAGGGGCCCAGAGCAGAGCTGCCAGTCCAGCAGGTTCCCACATGGGGTCTGCCATGGCTCGTGGTGCCCGCATGTGGTGCCGGTGCCAGAGCCAGGCCATTGTGGAGGACATCCCACCGCCAGGCCTCCCCACCACACTTGCTTCTGCAGCTAGCTCACCCACTGGGTAAGGCGGCCCGGGGGGCCCAAGGCCAGCCCTGCCAGTCCAGCAGGTTCCCACATGGGGTCTGCCATGGCTCGTGGTGCCCGCATGTGGTGCCGGTGCCAGAGCCAGGCCATTGTGGAGGACATCCCACCGCCAGGCCTCCCCACCACACTTGCTTCTGCAGCTAGCTCACCCACTGGGTTGTGAGGGTGCTGGGGTGTTGCCGCTGGGTTTGCCCTTCAAAAAAAAAGCAAAAAATCAACCTTCCCCGGTCCCCGTTGGCCTGGTGGCCCAAGCAGAGAGCGGCTCCCGCCATCGTACCTGCAACAGAGGAAGAGTGAGCTGGGTGGCCACGTGAAACCACCATGGCCCATCCTGGGGAGTCCGCGCCCACCCCGCACTCGGCTTTGGCTCATACCCACGGCGAGGAACCCGAAAGAAAGCAATGCATAGCAAGCTCAGGCTCTTGTTAGCTGGTTTTTCTTTTTTTTTTTTTTTTTTTGTGGTGGTGGTGGTTTTTCACAGAACACTGTTTGCAGTAGAGAAAAAAAACTGGCATTGCAGTCTGTCGTTACAACATTGGTACGGTCACGTAACCCAGGACATGTTCGGCCTTCAGCACAGAAACCTTGACCGGCGCGTGCCACAGCAGGGCTCGGGCGGTCTGCTCCAGTCCGCTGGTTGGTTTTTGTTGCTTTTGTTTTTGTTGTTGGTTTTTAACCTTTTCTGTATGTGATTTTTTTTTCTTTTTTTTTTTTTTTAAACATTTCTGAAGCTTTCTCTGAAGGAATGGCCACTGGCTCTCAGCTAGCAGAAGGAGACTACAGAAGAGCTCTTGGACACGTGGGATGGTTTCCTTCTCCCGCCTCGCAGCTGACTTGGTCTAGATAGTTTTCCAACTCGTTTTTATTAAAAAAATAAAAAAAAAAACCTGCTTCGACTATCAGTTTTACAAGGCATACAAAATCTCTAAAAGGGAAACACAAGCGCAAGGTGCTGAGGTACGAAAACCTGAGGTAGTTTTTGTGTGTGTGTGTACGTGTGGGGGGTGGTGGTTGTTGTCTTTTTTTTCTCTTCTTCTTTTAAAAATTTTTGCTAGTTTTTCAAGCCCTGGGCCAGCAACCTCTTGGGAATCTGTTACTGCCTCCCCTTTCCCCCTTCTCTCTCCCCACCATTGAAAAAGGGGTCCTTCCCCGACCGCCGAGTCCCTCGGGGGACCTCCCAGGCGTGGGGTAGGGGGAAGGACACCGTCTTGGGGTTGGTTTTTTTTTTTTTGCGGGGGGTTTTTTTTTTTTTGCGGAGCAGGGGACCGGAACAGATGCAAAACCCAGTCTGGACTCTGCGAAGCTAAGGCGGAAAGAGCACATGAAAAAGAGAGAGAGAGAGATTCCTCTTTTAAGAGACGGTATCCCTTCTGTTGGCTCATACAGGCAATCCCCACGGCGCACCGGCAGTGCTGCCCGTCTCAAAGCCCTTAAGAAATTGCCACTTTTTTAACCTTCAATTTTCCTTTTTTTTTTTTTTTTTTTTTTCCCCTTTCCTCCCCACCCTCAACCCCAACCCT